AAAAGGGAGAAAATACCTAATACGCTTAATTGCACTTATGCCAGAAGCAATCTTCTTAGAAATTTCATTAATACGACTTTCCCAAGAAAGATTTCCATCGATGTGAACACCTAGGGATTTTGAAGTCGACACTTGTTTAATCGGAAACTGGTTAATTTCAATTATGGGATTCCTTTCTAGCATTGACAGTCTTTTCATAGACCCAATTAATCTGTCTGTCTTAGTCATGTTAAGTGTATGTTTGTTCGCTGCAAGCCATATACGAGTTCTATTTTGTATCCCCTGTGTCCCCTTGTGCCCCCCTGTGTCCCCTGTGTCCTTTTGTGTCCCCAAAGGGCTCCTCAAAAATTTTATTTGGGCAACCATCTCTTAGGTCTAGCTACCCCAGGTAAAATGCTTGGGAGCCCAAAGGGCTCCCTGAAATTTTTCCTTAGAGCACGACCTTGCACATTGTAGGTATTGGAACTCTGATACATTACATGCTGTTGTTGAATGTGGAAGTGCATTTATTTAGGATATTAGTAAAGCTGGAATGCAAATGTTAATGAACTACCCCATACTGTTAACATTATATGGTGGTAATATTGATGTAAGTTTTTTGTTTTTGTTTTGTGTGTAACTCATCTTCTAGTGTATTTAACAGAACATCTCCGTCTCTCCTGCACACATTTGTTGTTGATACACTGCTCAACTTTCCAATGCCATTCAACGTAATTCTTACTTACACCAACACATCCTGCCTAAAAGCCTTCAGACATCTTCTTGTTGAATACATAGAGAGGCAAAAATCATTACTTAAGACGTTTAAGAAGGGCTTTGTTAGTAAGAGTGAAAAAGCAAGAATAGGTAAGTACGATCAATCAGCAGTTAAAGGTTGATGCTATTCAGTTGTATGTAGGCATAAGAGAGAGAGAGAGAGAGAGAGAGAGACGAGATAAGGAGAATGATGGTCCTAGGTACACATGTAGACACTAAGAAAAATAGCACGAATGGGGAGGAGATGTTCAATGATATAAAGGAAGCAGTTTTTGGAAAAGCTTGTGGGAGGGTAATAGAACTGGGAACAAGAACGCAGTGGCTGGACAAATTAAGAGAGGTCATTAAGAAGCAAGTAGCAACCCTGGAGGAGGAAGCCTGGAAACTAGACACAAGTTGCACGGTCAAAGCTTTATGCGTGGAAGAAAAACTGGAGTGCAACTGGACCGAATTGTCTCGTCAGTTTTTGGTGGAAATGTGCTCACACCTTATATGAGAGCCTAGTATCATCCTTTCAAGCTGTCTGCCTGGTTCTCTTGAGGGAAGGCATAGAATAGAATTCACAAGTGACAACCAGCGCCCTATTACTTGCTTAAAAACCATATGCAAATTGCCTACTTTTCCCAACAGAACAGCATCTAGACAGATATAACTTGATGGAGGGTGTGCAGAGCTGGGGTGCTCATATAGGATGTAGCGGTACGGTATACAACCTATTGATTGATTGGATAGGGACTTGTCATAATCTAGGTATGGCATGAATTTCAGTGTATCGTGGCTGTTTTAATATTGGGGTAATGTCATTGCATAGGTTTCCGGTCTGGTTCTGTAGGCTCATCACCACCAAGCTTTGTAGGAGTTGGAACACGTGGGTGTTAGTTGTCACGAGGAAAGGGAGGGAAACCTCCTAACCGATAATATTCAACAGAGGGTTGCCCTAAGAAGATGCGCTATGCGCGAGAGTATTTACTGTATGCTTAAACCTAATAGAGTGGAAGATCAGTGCTACCGAGGGATAAATATTCATGGTTTATTCTAGAAATTGGCCAATGAGGGTCAAATGGGCCCCCTTCTGTAATTTTAGGGGGCCCTTTTTCAAGAAGGGGGTCCCCCAAAATGTCGTTGAACTTATTGGTACAGACTGTTGCAAGAGAAAGCAAGCGTTTATTGACGTTTTGCTGCCATTTTGTAACATTCTGGGCAACTGAAAAAGCCTGGGCTCGAATTATAGTTGACTCTTGATAACTCGAACCTTTGAGGGAAATTGAAAAAGGTGCGAGTTATCAGGAGTTTGAGTTATCAGGAGCTTGAAAAAAATAGCCAGGAGTAAGGAAAAAACAGTTTTTACTGTATTGTGAACATTTTAGTCACATTTAATTGTAGAAATGTCAAGTGAAAATTAAAAGATACCTCTAGATTATAAATCAGAACATAACATAACCAAACCTTGCTTAAATAGAGCATGCTTTTTACTGTTTTGAGAAGTAAAGGTGTTTCACGTTAGATTTGTGACAAACATCATCAACCTTCAATAGTAAATTATATGGCTACAATACGTCAATGGGAAATTCAAAATTCAATGTTTGGGATACCAGTAGACGTTTTTTCCCCAACTTTTAAGGGCTCAAAACATGGTTCGAGTTATCAAGGGTAAAATTATATAGAAATGATCTGATGGGAAACAAAAACTACTTTGAGTTAGCATGAGGTTCGAGTTATAGGGAGTCAAATGTACTGCAGAATC